GTATTTTATTTCTAATAAATACTAAATATTTACAAGCCGTTCACGTCTGTAATTTATTGCCCCGGCATGACGCCACACTACGTCCAACATACTCAAACAGAAATCAAAAATAGCAATGAGTTTTTCAAGTTCCGAAATCGTGTCACGCAGTGTTCTTTGACACAATTCTCTGTTGCTGCAGAAAACTATTGAGAACTCCTGAAACGATTGAAAATCATTTGAAGCACTTCAACTCACAAATGCAGTCAATTAAAATAAATATACCGAACGTGTCTGTATGTGCTTTTCCAGTTTGCAACTTTTAATCATTTTAAACATCTCTCCCTCTACCCCCCTCCCTGTCTGCCTTGCTGGATGAAAACACTTCTGCTGTTTTATTTAGTGCTATAATATTGCGTATCATTTAGAAATAATGTGAGAAAGTATGAGCTTTGGCAGTACCACTAGTTTGACATTCGATTCCTGTTTAGTACCTTTTTCAAAACAAAAGCACCAGAAATTAATTTTAACGAGTACTACTACGTACATTCCCGGCCAAAATGAGACTTGGTAAGATATAAATCGAAGATTAATATTTTGGTATACGCACAAATTGAAGCTCTTGTCAATTGTTTCAGTTGGTGTAATTATTGCATAGTGTTACCCAGACGTCAATATTTACAGGTAGTGTAACTGTCTAGTGTCACCAAGCCGTCTGTACAGCTTTTTTTGTTGTTGTAAGTGTTCACAGCTGAATGAGATTTTGCACAAAATTGGGAAATTGCATTTAAATGTGAAGGTGGAATACAAACTCTATCAAATAGAAAACTATCCAGAAGTGCATTGGGTAACCATATAACAGTAAAGACTTTCATATATTAAAGGCTGGTAGCAATTATTACATTTGCACAGATAAACAAGAACAATTCGATCATTTTCTGTAAAAGAAAGTTCTTAACTACCCATGTGGATGTTTATTAAAGAGTTAATTACATATTCACTCATATAGCAGCAAATGTAATGCAAATCTGCTAATAAACGAAACACGACGTGACGGCTCGTGGCGCAGTGGTGAAGTCGCTTGCCTTTCAAGGTTCCGGGTTCGATTCTCATAGTTCTCGAGTTCCCGTAGAACCTCATGTGAAATTTGTTACGACAAACGAGCTTGCGTGCTTCACAAGGGCTAGTCAACCCCTCTCTTATCTCCGTCCTATACCTTTCCCCTAGCCTTATTCCTTTCTAATTCTGGCCGATGGCGAGATGACGCTACCTGTCGGCGATTCCCTGACTTGACTAAGACTGACGTGACTTGACATACACTGAAAATGACTTGACTATACAGCGGCCCCTAGAGGACGCTTATTAACGGAGGATTACTCCAATGCGCTCAACTCTCCTAACGGAGTACGGAGACGCGTTTCATCAAACATTTGTGAGAAAATACAATTGAACCCCCATTAATTTTACCGAAAAGATTTAATTGCTCATAGTTCTTGACCATTCCCGCATTCGTGCGTTTGAGACCATTTCCCTCACTTCTTTTGCCACAATCTTTCAGGAGTTAAAATGTTGCAATGGAAGAATGGAGCGTCGCGATTTGGCAGATTCATTTCCTCAGAATAACGTGTCATTGTTAGATTACGATTACGACGAGATTGATTACGCACCCTCGAACGATAGAGCACTATCGATCTTGTGCGCACGCGCAGTTCAAGTTTCGCACCGCTTTAGAGCATCTGCGCATGCGCTGAAGATCGATAGTGTCGTCCGCTATGGCGTGCACGAACTCCCTATTCTGGGTGTATGGAAAGGAGTTTTGCATTATCGAATTTGTTGATATATTACACTTAAACGATTTTTTTTCGCGTCTAATACGCTACGATTGGTAATAAATTTTTGTGAGGCGAAGTGAGTGAAGGCTGAGATGGATATGGACAAAAAGTGCGGAATTATATAACTATTAGTGAGGCGAAGTAATGTGCTATTCTAGCACTAGTTTTGGGGCGGTAATTGTTTATTGTTTTTTCCAATTTTCAAACAAATATAAATTGTAAATAGTATGTATTAAAACATATGAAACTGTTAAATTGCAAATAGCCGTACAATCGATGCGACTATATTTTTTTATTAGTTTATAGATGCCTTAACTTCACCGTCATTAGCAATTTAACAATTTCGAAGATACCGAACCAACTCTTAAGGTTATCTATTATGATTACTCACATTTGCTCATTTACGAGACCCACAACTTGATTAACAGCCGTGAAGAAGTTATAGTTATCTTTATCTGAGGCCATTGTCTCTCATTGCGTGGTATATTTACGTCTTACTGATTAAACCGTTGAATCTTTCATTTCATTTACTGGTTCAATAGAAGTAACCTGCGATATTTCTCTTCATTAAGAATAGATACCTGACCTTTCGTGAAGTTTGAAAGTTCGGTGCCATTGACCTGCCAGCGGACGCGCGTAAAAGTTCGTCAGCAGGCACGAGTCGTGAATTATTTTAATGACTCGCATAAAGCAAAAATAAGTACAACAATGGAATTTTAATGACGAAATTATGGTCATTCTAGAATTGTAATTCATAAAAACGTATTAAATATAATTCAGAAAAGTTTACTTTGCAATTTCTATACCATTCATATTAAACTATGAGACTTTGACAACATGTCTCCTATATTATTCCAGTAGTATACCTTTTGCGGCTCTCAAACGCAACCAATCTTAATAAATGAGATCTCTAAAAAAAAAGAATTTCACGGGGAAGTGACAAATTGCACCTTGACTTTAGAAATATAAAGGATTTGTTTAAAAAACGCATCTAAATATTCATGTCACATGTAATCCACAACACAGCTAAATCGTTACATAACACCTAAACAAAGCGTACTAGGGCCTCAAAAATTAAAATTTGAGGTCAAAAGCCGTTCAAAGAAACGTTCTTCACAACGTAATCTACAGGAGGAGATGTTCTTGGACATTCTATTGCTGGTTCGGTACTAATCGAATACTACCAATGCCAACTATATTTCAATCCTTGGTGATGGTGGGCTTACTTATCCTTGGTCGCTTACAAGGGTTGTACTTGTACGATCCTGAATTTTCGCAAGGAATACTTTACTTCGCTTTCTCACGAGAAAAAAACAAAAAACGTTTCTAATATTTTTGTGACTATCAACGAAAGCGAAAAGCTAACTGTCAAGGAAGATTGAATAATTACTTCAAATGTTGTTAAGGAAGTGTGAATTGTTCGAAGAACTTATCTCTATAATACTGCGACAAAGCAAAATAGCTTTTGATATTTTTGGCATTTGTAAGCAAAACCTTAATGTCGAATATCTTGGGAAATATAAGGAATAGCGTGATGACGCAAATTAATATGAGACACTGACAGTGTAAGGAGTCAGAAAATCCAAACATTAATTGAAGAAGTAAATTTTGAAAAATTTAGAATTTCCGAAAATAAAGCAGAGAAATAATAAGGGGCATAGTAGACAAAAGACGCTTGATGTATGGTTAGGGTGCGACAAGAGCGCATCGAGGAACAAGAATAACAATGAAACAAGTGAATTGGTTTTGTCGGATAGAAAGTGAAAGCGAACAAGTTTTGGTCAAAACTATACTGGATTTGGGAGAGAAAGCATCGATGGCCGCCAGGGCGTGAAGTTGAAATATTTTGTAATTATATCAAAATCAGTTGTTTTCCGGGCTTGAAGGCCGTTGTCCAATGGAGACTTGTCCAAGTTGACATGGACAAGTCTCCATTGGACCACGGCCTTCAAGCCCGGAAACAACTGATTTTGATATGGAAACCGGCCGTGAAAGCCTACATTGTATGTTATTTTGTAATTAGTCCGTGGAGATAGAAAATGGACCTATGGTCGAAGGGTATAAGAGAATAGGAGAGTACGTGAAAAGTAATTTATTAGAGAGAAAACATTAATATTCGTGGGATAATTCGGTCGCAAACACAAGTTAAATTTAAAAGTTCAATTCAATGTGGACGTAAGAAGAGCTCCAGACAGATGTATGGAACAGTCGCTGAACTAGATAAAAACGCCACGATTGTGGAGAAGAATCTTCAAAAGGGAAGTTTAGATAATAAGCGGCGGAGAACAAAGAGAAAAATTGAAATGGACTTTTATAATATAGATCTGCCTAACAGCCACAATTTTTATTCATAAAATTCCAATTTTTGAAATCTGGCACTTTTCCCGATTTCATCAACTTGCATTGTTTATATTCTACCGTGCAGATATCTTCAGATTCTGACAATCTGGAATACTGAATCGGTAGAAAATTTACAACGGATTTTTATTAGTAAAGAGTAATTCATTTTTTATTCTATTTCTTTTGTTGATGGAGAAAACATATCTAATACCTTACAGCTTCATTGTCAAGATATTTTCTAATGGCAAATACGAATATACACATTTTGGACTGTAAACGTAAGTGTAGAATGTGTATATTGACATTTCTATTGACAAAAAAAACAAAGTTTTTATAAGAAACTTTGTAATTTTAACAATACATAACATTCGAAGAATTTGTAATCTAATTGTCCTTGCGTACCAATATGATTAAAAAGTACTTCAAAATTTATATTATCAACCATATAATTTCGGAAACAAGAACTTGTCATTCTGTAAAACATGTACATTCCTGAACGTGTTTGCCAAACCACCGTTTTCCTCGATCAATACAATCAAAAACTTCATGAAACGCAAAACACTTCTCATGAGCCTTGGTCGGCCCGTTCTCAAACGCACATCGTACAATACGAGTAATGGGCCTCCTGGATTCAAATAACCGCTTCCAACGTTTGCTTTACTTCCTATTGACTATTAACAGGTAACAGCACATCGTATTTTCAAAATAGAACGATACAGCGATGCGATGCTCATTTGCACCAAAAAACACAACCGCGAAGTGTTGCCAAATCCCGAAACATAAAAGGCAACCTTCGTACTTCTAGTTGTTGCTGCGAGAGCGAATTTTGAATTAATAATTTTGGAAATGAACCTCGTCCGTCTACGCCAACCCCAGAGTAAACAGAACGCGTAAATAGTACTATAAGACAAAGGAATCTAAACGTGACGTCACAAAGTTGGCCACCATCACCAAGGGTTGAAATGTAGGCAACATTGGTTGTTTCGATGCCACGGTAGTATGGACCAAACCAGCAAAAGTTTAATAGAACGTCCAAGAATATCTCACCCCATAGATTGCGGTGTGAGGAACCTCAAAATTTTAGTTTTTAAGGAGCTTCAATGCTACGTTTAGGAGTTCTTTAACGATATAGCTGGGGTGCTGCGGGTTGCATTAAACTTGAATATTTGTATGCGCTTTTAAACAAATCCTTTATTATTATTATTATTATTATTATTATTATTATTATTATTATTATTATTATTATTATTAACAATAATATCTTATCTTTTTTTTGCCAAAGTGCGATTGTGTCACGTCTCCGTGAAAATCTCTTTAGAGACCTCATTTAAAGACTGGTCGCCTGTGAGAGCCGCAATAAGGTATTTGTATTCTCGCGCAAGTTTTTCTTGAACTGTGCGCTTGATCCCCCTCCCTGTGCAATAAACAGTTGAAGGCAAAAGCTCGCAAGCGGGCACTTGGACAACCATTCCAAGCCTTAAAACTTTGTTGCGCGAAACATGAAGCTAGTCAAAAGCCAGTGGCTTTCATAGTGCAGACCCCTGCTTCATGTTTATTGCATATCGAAAGAAATGGCCTAGCCAGGTCCTGGTCCTTCAAGGAGTCACTTTAAAACTCCCACCAAAAGTTAGCACCAAGATTGCAGTTTTGACTTTTATTTCACCAGCCTTTGGCATTACTTAAAATACTCTAGTGGCCGACTTAGTAACTAATACCCCCACTCCACCCGAAATCGTCAATCCATCGTTCAAGAAAAGTTGCGGGAGTAATACCACTGAAAGTATTTGTGTGTGCAAAGGAAATGTGATGGCAAGTAACTCACCTCATCTTCCTGCTTCACTTCCCTCTTCAAGGAACACAGCTCTCCTCCTCCCTACAAATAAAAGAAGTTGGCTCATTCGCAACGTCTCAAAGCAAATAGCACTGGCAAACTGAGGGCCGGTTAGTCCATAGCGGCAAAACGTGCTTCTAGAACAACCAATAAGACTTACGCTTATGAACAACAAATACTCATGGATTCAATAAATAATTGTTTGCTACTTAATTGTTTAGATGGCAAATTAATTATTACTTTGTATTTCAAAGGGATTTGAATATTTCATTATTAATTATAATTTATTATTACTTGTATCAACAAAAATTAATATTCAAAATTAAGAATGGAAGGCAAATTAATTAATTTAAATACAAACAGCCAATGGCGAATATAAAGAATTTAAAATACTACAGTAATTAAACATAAAATGAAAATAATTAATATGATGAAACAAAACAAAATTGATACTAAGAACGAATTAAGAAACAAAAACACCATGCTAAAAGCGTGCAAAACGCTTTATGGAATAAGTAGTGTCAAATGTCGATTGTGTCACTATCTATTGGCTGCATCTCGAAGTTCTTATATAATCTGTAGCCATAGATTTGCTTTATGCAACTGTGCACGGCCTATGAAACCTGTAACTTATTCAAATCTGGCAAATAGTAAAATGTAAAGGGATACTCCTATTTATTGCACTGTGAAATAATATCGATGGTAATCGTCTACTGCTGATTGACACGAGTTTGAGAGGTGACGCTCCCGCAGACGTGGCAGCAAAACAGCAAGTAGACTTCTTTTGCATTTAATTTCTCACATTCATCTCGGTGACCCACTTTGTAACTTACCACACTTATGCAGAACTTCTTAGAGATTACATTGGTGGTTTTTGTATTGTTTTTGTATTGTCGATTTTACAAAAAATTAAAAATAAGAATGTAATAGGTCAAAATAAAATAGGTGAAAAGAAAAATCCAAATCTGAGTGCTCCAAAAATTGTCCGAGTGGAAAAAAGGAAGGTTGTTCATTCCAAAACCGTGCGGAGTGTATCAAGAAATGCGGGATATAACGACGAATAGCCCGAAGGAAACCGTACATACGCAAAGTCAATAGAAGGAAACGGCATTCACGAGGCACCAGATTGGTGACGTAATGTGATATTTGCTGATGAAAGCAAATTCAATCGTTTGAAGTTAGAGGGAAGAGTTCTTGTGTGGCGTAACGGGAATACAAAACTTAACAAAAATTTGCAGCCTACGGTAAAGCACGATAGGGGTACACGACGTATGGGGTACATATCAGCAGCTGATGAGGGTCAAAATGACTTTTATTGAGGACGCAATGAATAAGGAATACGTTTCATTTATCAGAACAATGACCCAAAACACAAAGGCATATTGTAAGAGAATGGTTACGTTATTTACAGAATGGTTCAAGGGTTTTGGACACTCCTCAATTCCCAAACCCCTTCGAGAATCTTTGGGAAATTCTGAACGAGAAAGTCAGGAAATCCCCAATTTCTTCAAAAGAAGACCTGAAGAGAAGATTGAAGGAGAAATGGGGAAATTTAAGGACTTAAGAAACTGAAAAAAGTGTGTTAAATATGTCCTAACGTTTACGAGACGTTATTAATCGTCAAGGTTACCCCACTAAATATTAAAATTATTTTTGTTTGTAAATATTAGTTCTGTAGTGAGTATTGTTTATACAATTCTGTTCTAAATGACCGAATATTAAAGTGGCATGTATTATTCTTTCTATTTTATTTTTTCCCAAAATGTACATGTAAAGTTCAATAATTTTGATTTGTTGCAAACAACATGATACTATTGAATGCGCATATCAGTTTTATTGTTTTTCTTCCCGCTTCTTTTACAAAAATTAAAAATCTTTAGAATAAGATGATGACTGAATATTAAAGTGAGTCTATGTACAGCAAATAAAAGAGCATCTTTTTTTCTTTAAAGTTGCAAAATATTAAATTTCTGTTACAATCACAACATTAGTTAAAAATGATTAACTTTAGCGCTGCGTGCATTTTATCGAAAATTCTGAAAATTAATATAATCTCGAAAAAAAATATTTGGGAAAACATGAAAAACACGTGTTTCATATTTTTACTAATACTCTTCACAGAAAAGAAGTAAAAAAATCTCTGACAACTAGGTCAAATGAGATGATATGGTGGTGATAGAGAGTGGATGGAAAAACACAAATACAACCATGTCCGAGGCGGAACTCGAACACGCGATCCTTCGGTCTGCGATCGCTACGGCATTACTGCTTAAACAATCTCAGCCATCCGGATCGGCTTTTTATATTACTATATAGACAATTGTTATCAATTTTTAAAGTAAATAATTGAATAAAATTAGTATTTGCAGGCACATTTTATTTGTTTAATTAATTTTTAATAAAAAGTTAAATTTCAAAGATGTTATTGTTGACTTAAGAAGGGGGACCACAAAAATATTTTAGTGAGGCCTCAAAAATGGCAAATACACTGGTGCATATAGGGATAACAAAAGTAACATTTTCATGAAATGGTATAGCATTAGGTGCCTAATAGTAGAGTCAAAAGTTTAAAAATTAAAATAAAAGGAATACTTCATTCAAGACAATATTTTGTATTATTTTTTATCCAATAGAAAATATTTCAAATGATAAAATATTTTCAAATAGATAACTTCGAATTGCATCTTTCTCAGACCTGTAAGAAATGTGTATATTAGTTATATATCTTCATTGGTTTTAAAAAAATACTGAATTGGTATTAGAAAAATATCATTAATTTTAAAATTATTAGACAGGTTTTTTTTCTTTACTCCTAAGTGGCTAGTTACTGCAAGTTTCACTATAATATTCCAAAAATAGGAATGAGTTTTTTAATTTAAAATTTGGTGTGAAAACCAGTTTTAAAAAGATTATTTTAAAATATATTCTTGATCCCAGTTACATTGAAAACTAAGCTGCATCAGCTTGCACTTTATCTTATTTTTCCCACTTAATTTTGTCTTCATCGGCGTCGATCCTGCATGGCACTCAACTTTTATGAAGCGGCGTGTCTTTAACAGATTTTTTTACAATTATTAATGTGGTAGCGGAGCTCATGTTGAAGTCCTATATTCATTGAATGCAAAGTTTGGAAGATTTTTATTGAAGATTTCCATTAAGCATATTCTCTAAATAACACTGCAATAATTAATTTGCACTGATGTTTTTTGTTTTTTGCCTCATTCAAGATTTTAATTTTGTTGGTGACTGTATCGTTAGAACCATAGACAGAACAGTTTTCATTTTATTGTTGTCTGAGAATTTCTTCTCAGAACTATTATGAAAACAACATTAATATTTCTCTTAAAATAATTGGAATTAAATCTTATAATTAGATTAACTCAAGTATTTAATTCCCATTTCTTTATAGAATTTTTTCAAAGACAAGAAGCAGTTCCCAAAATTATTATTCATATCAATGTGGAACACAGAAACAGCAAATCCTTTCAGGTTCTCGATTTTATGTGACTTGTTAATTTCACCTGCTGCGTTGCTAGTCCAATTATTTAGAATATGTTGGCTAATATCAGTTGACAAATGTACTCACAATTTTCCTTAATTCCATTAGATTAGATTAGATTAGATTCCATTAGATTCATTGAAAAAAAATTTTTTTCTTCCTTATTTTTTTGAAGCTATTGTAATTTCTCAATAAAATTAAATTAAAGGTACAGTTCTATTTTAATAATACTTGGTTTCAAGCTCATGAGGAAAATTCAGTTCAGCTTCAGACAACAAATCAAGCAACTTCAATTAATGCCACTTAATGAATTCTTGGGAGGCCTAATATTTTGTCAGGTTTGTTTTACTTTATTTTGCGTTATTTCTGTCTATTTATTCAAACTAGGTATATTTGCAACATGTTTCTTAGCTAAATTTCAATATATGAATAAATATGAAATATGATTGGAAAGATAGATTTCAGGCAGTTAGACAAATTGTCCTACCACCTAACAGCTCTACAGCCCTAAAAAAGACAGATATGCTGGTAAAAACGTCCGCACCTCAGCCTTGGACACAGCATCAGCCCAACAGCCCAGATTATAACAGGAAATATAAACGTATTCATCCAAATATTAATCTTGGAAACTAGTAACAAATTATCGAACTAAGATGATCTCTATCTGTCACATTGTATAGAGTGACCATAACAATGCAGCATTTAAAAGTCACCACACACATAATCATCCTTCCATAACTTCCCATCCTTTACACAGAGATGCAAGAAAAAGGACTTCTTCATACAAGATGCTGTCATTACTCACCAAGCACATGAGCACATTTGCCTGAACAGCAGTGACGTAACATTCAGGCCTACAAGGAACGCAGAACCCAGGTAAAGGAGAGCCTGCTTTAGGCTGAAGGATTTACAATTGTAAAAAAATAATAATTACTTGTTATTTTCTCTGATACTTTGCGATAGTTGATTCAATAAAAGAAAAACAGCACCTTCCAGAAGAACAATTATTTTTTTAATTCGGTTACTTCTTTCTAAATCAATAAGGTAAGCAATTCATTTAGGTTTACAGCAATCTTAATGTCATAAAACTAAATAATACAGACAGTAGTTTCCACTATTCATTATTAATCATAGATTGATTAATACAAATTTGTAAAAGGATTTATTTACTATTTGGTACTAACAATACTTGTGTTTGCTATCCACTTCTAAAAAGGGGGCCTGAATAAAACATTGGCATGTGGGCATTGCTTGAAAAAAAAAAAAGAAAAAAGAAATACTGACTTTTGGCTGGAAGAACAGAGAATACAAAAATAGTCCAAATATGAGTTGGTGAGAGGCCTGAACTTATTATACAGGTTTGAAATCATTTTCTGTTGGAAGTTTCCCTGGCTTTTCCCGGTTTTCTAGAGCATATTATAACACTTTTTTCCTAATAAGATTTGTAATTTCACACTACTTCAAGAAAAATTCAAGCTACCTCGGTACTAAATGGCCAGCACTTTGATTTCACCACGACACAGAACAAATTAACAATATTTTTCACCAAATAACAATTGGGCCAAAAAAAACAACTGAACTAACATTTTTAATGAATAATATCTAGTTTTATAACTCAAAATGACTTCAAAAGATTTTTCTACACATTTCCTGATTTTTTTCTCGACTTTTTAAGAGCAATGCAATTCCCTAATTTTTGCCAGTATTCCAGAAAGTGGCCATCCTATACAGATGCTAACAGTAAAGAGTAAAAATAACTCACTGGTAAATTCACAACATGGTCTACTGCATGATCATCAGGCTCCTGTTTTACCTAAAAGCCAAGAGACAAAGAAATTTTTAGAAAAAAATCACAGCAGCCATCTTACAGCCAAGTCCACAATCTTCAAAAGTATTTTAATATGCTTCAAATAAAAAAATGACAAAATACCACAATCCATTTTCATATTTCTTTGATAATATGGAGAACCCTCATCAGATCTCTCATAACGCGAACAAAATTTGGGTTCTAGCAAAGCCACAATGATATGAATAAATATAATAATCGAACATCACAATTTTTATAACAAAAATTTTGATTATTTCAGTTTCTTGGAATATGTTTTAATGAGGGTTTCTAAAACAGTTCAAAATAACATTTCCAAAACAAAGACCTTTTAACACTATCTCCATAATCATCAAAACAATTATTTTAAATTTAGAACCCACTTTATGAAAATACAGTTTAACTCTTAAAATTATTTCAAAACTAGGAAAAGCATATGGATACTAAATTAAATATTACTATTTCATTACAACCTCGGCCAACTTTTCTATTTGGTTTGAATTTTGGATACACATTGTTAATTCACAATAAAAGCCCACAACACCCCACATCAACAAAATTGTTGGCTAGTATTATCTGCAGATTTTTTTCTTTAGGAATATAAGTGTAAATATGCAAGTAAAACAATCATACTATAACTATTTTTTAGAATAACAGGCCCCACATACATAATTTATCAAATGCCCTTAAATACACACAATGATTTAACAGAAACAAACATTGAAATTTGACATTTTATGTGACATTAAATGACATGTGCATTCAGCATACTACTGTGTGAACATTTTGTTTCTTTGTTGTTTACTAGTGTGTCGTTGTTGTTGTTGTTTTGTCCAGTGTAAACTTAAATTTCTGCTGAAGGATACATCATTCCCATAATGTTTATGATACATCCAGAAACACTCAGATTGTCTAAAGAATTAATCTCGTTGCCACAATTATCAATCTACACAAGAGAATTTGCTGTACTCACAATAGAAATCAATGTGCTCTCTCCTATGTGATCCAGAGGTTCTTCTTTAACCTACAAATGACAAGAAAAGAAGGGCATTAATGAGCAACACTTACAGCCCGAGAATGTTATTTCAACTTAATCTTCACACCATATCTGCTTTTTTATATCTAGTACTATACCTGGACTCTTATTGAACCCCATGCTATACTGATAATTGGAAGTGGTACACATGAATGTGTAAGGCAACATATTGGGCATGAAGCATTGATTTTATTTAAGAATTTCTTTTCTAAGTTGTTTTCAATAACATAATAAATATAATTTAGTCATATTAAATATTTCATAAAAAGAATAACCCCCACCATAGGAAGCCTCATTTGCCTTTAAAATCTAAGGAAAAAAGTTTTTTTGCAAGTGTATGCTTTTTTGATTGTGCAGGATAAAAGCAGAAAATATTACGAAAAATATAATTGAACTTTTTTTTTTATGAAATTAAATTAAAAGGTCTTTTTATGAACTCTCTTAATATCCAAGACATATTTACATAGAAGAGATGTTCATAAGTTTAACCTCAATATCTTACAGAGCAATTTAAGAGAAAACACATTAACTGTTCCCCACAATAGGATTATTGCAAGAAAAAATGAAATTGGGATATCAATATTTTTTAGTGTAGACACAAACTGCAGTATAATTTCAAATTCAGTTCAGATTTTGTTAATGTCAGTCCTGTACACAATTTTTTCCCTCAGATATTACATTAAAAAAACAGTTGTCAGTTTTATTCAGTATTTATCACTTTATTTAAATATTCTCAATCTTTGGAGACATTGAGTTTTGGATCTTGTCTATATGGGACATAACGATATCTATTGCTTTTAATTACATAGTATGCATCTGATAAAGAGACTAAACTTACAATTCAAAAAGCCTCAAACCTACACGGAAATAGGTGAATATCCCTAACTTAACTGTTTGTTTGATTTTTCTCCCATGTAATATCCCAAGGAAATAATGTTAATAGTACATAAGATTGTCAATAAAATTTGCACCAAATCAATATTACATAAATACAACTGACAGAAATTTATAATTCAAAAAAACTGCATTATTTCCCTTGCATCCTTCTGAGGGGGAACGTGTGGGATTTCTTTGGTTCTCAGAAAATTGATTACACTTTATTACAAATCTGGTATGCTACTTTGGGAGCAAAATCCTTTGCATACGCAAAGAATCAATTAATTAACTTTTGAGTTTGAACATGAAATTTTTTCACGGCAGACCCATTTGTGTAGCGTAACATTTCTTTTCAAAATATGATGAACATATATAACAAAAGTATTGGAAATGCTGAGTTGATGTTGTAATGAAACACGTGTTTTACTTCCGCAATTCAAATTTGGCATAATTGGTCCAATGTGTCTCCATACCTTCGGTTTGTTTTACATCAGGTTTACAAAATGTTTCCTAATAAGTTAATCAATAGAAATTTCATCTTGAATAATGGTCACAAGCCACACTAATTTATTGGATCTTGGTTGTTAGATCTAGTTGTAACTTCCTCAGACACACTCTGAGAAACTAATGACGAGTAATTTTAATGACAAAACTTTTGCTCAACAATTGGTAACATTATATATAAAATTGACACTATAAAAACAGAACAAACTCGGCTGCAAACTAGTTTTTATTCTAGTTAACGGATTTTCTATGATAAAAGGCTCAAAGAGTTAAGGATAAGAGGGAGCAAAATACACACATTCAAGGGATAAACTAGGATTTTGCTGATAATTTGATTTATATTAAATTTTGTAGCTTATTGTAATTTTTTTTTTAGTTGCTGAGGGATATTAAACATTAAAAATAAAATGCCCAAACCTTTCATGTAAGTTTTCATCTGTAGGCAGAAATTAATATTTTCAAAGAATTATGTTTAATAGTATTTATACATCACAATTCTTTCTAAGAACCTACCGTGATAGTATAAGAACCGTTCTACTCCCAAACAGTTCTTTACTTATATAAAACAGTATTTAATAGGAAAAAAATATTTAAATAACCAAATCTTATTTGAACATAACACCAGATCTTATGACTTCTTTTTTAACCATTTTTGGAAAACCAAGCCCTTGGTAAGGAGCTAGTTGCAAAAGCTTTCACTAATGTAACTGGAAAAAAAATACTTACTTCATCTATTTGAATTATATTTTCAGCCAAGATTTGTATGTTTTCCATGATTATTATTGCTCACACATTCCGAATCTGTTCCGAACTCACAAACGCGCACAAAACACAATTATTTCCACAGAAGATTCGCTTGATAGCAAAGAGTACAATATGAATAATGAAGTGCGCCCGAAAGTGCATAAATATGTAATTAAAATTCTTTGCTATATTCTGTCTGATTCTGTCTGTTTTAGTTCTTCTCTTGCATCTTTAAATATGGTATCGTTCATACTTCACCAATCAGGGAGGACACCAGTCATCTTAGTCTTCCTTTCAAAACAGAACAAATTAGGCGACTTTTTAAAAAAGGGAACAAAAAATGAAATTCAAAATGACCGACCAATTTCTCTTTTGTCAACTTTCTCAAAAATATTAGAGACTTTTCTATACGCGAATGGAAACTTTTATCAGGAAAAACGAAGCGTTTTCAGTCTCACAACACAGGTTAAGAAAATCAAAATCTACGGAAAATGTCATTTTTTCTTTTGTTAAAGATGTTCCTTCATCAATGAACCAAAATGAAGCACTCATTGGAATATTTTTAGTTCTTTCGAAAGATTTTGACGATATTGACCATAACATTTTGCTATCAAAATTATCTTCTTATGGAATTCGTGGAATTGCTCTAGATTGGATAACCTCGTACCTTAAACATGGATCTCAAACAGTAGAAATACTGTACTGACACGAAAGGACTTTATTTTCTTCTCTTTCCAATTCGTTACCAATTGTATATTGGATCCCGCAAGGCTCGATCTTAAGTCCTATTCCCTTTCTGTTATACGTAAACAATATGCCATCGTCTATTAAAAACGGAAGAACGGTTCTGTTTGCCGATGACACGAATGTTCTTTGCAAAAACGAAACAATAAATAGTACGATTTTAGAAGTATCAAATTGATTTTGTAATGACAAATTAATAGTTAACGAAGGAAAAACAAATTCAATGCATTTTTGCATTTCAAATCAGCAATCGTATGCTCCATTGAAAATGAACAATATGCAATTTGCCGATGTCCAGGTAACAAAATTTCTAGAACTCTCAATTCAGTCAAACTTCAAATGGAATGTACAAATAACAAAATTACACTAAATTAAGTTCATTATGTTACGCATTCAGAATTCTATCAAATTCTGTCAGCCTTCATGCAGCTCGTTGCGTGTATAATGAAAATGTACATTCTTGCCTGAGATATGGCATACGATTCCGGGGAAACTTAGCATGTAGTACTCAGACCTTTAGATTACAAAAGAAAATTATTCGAATAATGAAAAAATGTCATCCGCTTGATCCCTGCAAGCCTCTCTTCATTGAGCTTGGAATCTTACCATTGCCTTGCCTATATATTAATGAATCTGTAATATTTGTGAAAAGTGACTTATTTATTAATTAATTAGATCGCTGGTGAGGTAGATGCCTTTTTATTATGATAATTAAATAAAGATGTAGTCTGGTATCAATACTTTTTATTCAGCTTATGATCGTTTGGATCGCATAGCGATCATCCTCAGAGCTTGCAGCTTCCGGGCCGAAAAACAAAGGTCGCACATAATCTTCTTCGCATACGTCACATACTGTTTTTTCTGATTTTTTTTTTAACTAAATAAATCTAATCAAAAGCAAGAAGCAAACAATTGTGAAATAATATACAAATTCTAATTTACGAAGCATCCAACTGTCTGAAATTGCTTACACGAAGCGCAGTAAATTGAGAGCGGGCGACGATGTTTGTGGCCAAATTACACAAAAAATACTAATATTTTCAAAGAAATCAACGTAACATAATTCGAAGATATGTTTTTTGATTAACATATTTTATTAAGAAAAAATGAATCTTCACAACTGTATTTGCTTCAAGACATTGTTTTCTATTTAAATTTTCGAAAAATTAGGCAATTTAACGAACATAAGATCTGCACCCTTTTCTTAAGCTTCCTTTACGCTACGACTAAATTTAATTTAAAAAAAGTGTGTCGTTTTTAAATAAAAATGGTTTTAAAAAATAATTTCCCAAAATATACCCATGTTTGGGAAAAATTGAACTTGACATTATTTTTAGATGTTTTTTATGAGCTCGTTTTGTTAAGAAAAAGTAGTTATCTTCATAATTATAGGAAGACGTTGAAAAACGTTTGAATTTTTGCAATTTTCGAAAAATCAGTGTTTTCAACGAAAATGAGACCTACATCGTTCCCTTAAACGTCCTTTACACTATTCAACAACAATATTCAATCAAAAACGCTGGATTTTTTGAAAATGTCCAGGAGCTACAAGTAAAGTGCCCCAAAATTAAAATATCGGTTTCTAATTCAAGAAGCCGCGACATCAGTAAGATCGATTGAGGGATATCAATTTTGGAGAAAATGGACTGAACGCTTTAGCCGCTTGCGTTGTTCTCAGAAGGGCGGACGGACGTTTTGCCGTCAATCGATTTTTCGGTATCAAGGACCCACAAAACATGGATGGGAAAAAGGAGAGACATGCTATCTAGAGGTGTAATTTCAACAATTATCTACTCTGGAGCGTTTAAAGATGTGTCGTAATGCCCCCGTGTATGAATTTTCTAAATTCTATCGCGAAATATAATCGCAGCCTATGTAGTTCTCGAAATTGCAACGAAGAGCATCATTATCTTTTGCATGACAGAACCAGCGCCGTCGTGACTCTGGTCCGAGAGGTGCATTTCTTTTTTTCCGAAGATACAGTTAAGAAAGGCGAAAATGGTGCAAGACTCATATTCTTGGGACATTCTGAGTTTTCGATTTTTAAAAAATTTGTTGCGACTTCGTCGATGCAATGCGACTCTGAACCCTTGATGGGCGTTGAGCACCTGGCAGAAAATAATCCTTCCTTATTATTTTTGGCATAAAATTCTGAGGAAACTCAGCATGTAGTACTCAGTCCTTTAGATTACAAAAGAAAATTATTCGAATAATGAAAAAATCTGTGTGATCCCTGCAAGCCTCTCTTCATTGAGCTTCGAATCTTATGCCTATTTATTAACGAATAAGTAATAGTTGACAAAAGTGATTTACCTAATGTTGGAAACATATTTTCATGCGATACTGATATTTATAATTACAACACACGTTTTAGAAATATCGTTCATCAAATATCAGTATCAACAGCTCACTACCATCAATCCACGTACAATACATGCACGTTACTTTACAACGCATTGCCAAATGACATTAAACAATTGAAGTCGGTTCACGAATTTAAGTTAAAAATAAAATATTTTCTGCTGCATACAGCAGCACTACACACTGCAGTCAGTCAGTGCCTTTTATCCCTTCGGCCAGGGGTTCGGCGCTGTGAAATCCTCGGAATTCAGAGATGGTCACCCAACCAGGAACCCGCGATGTCTCGAATTCGCTTAACCTCCGTGTCTTCACGGAGCGTTGTTAAGCAATTTGGCTAGCACCGCCGGCAATTGTTGATGCTAAAAAATTGCGAGAAAATATGAGCTTCTATGACTAGTTTTAGCAAAGCTTCTCTGCTCAGAGCGGTGGCAGTCGTAGTGGCGCACGACTACGCTAAACCTCTCGGACGCGCTTTCATTTTTACTTTCTCGTATAGTACGTATATGCGGTGAATTTTACGTAGTGTAAGGAAAGTTATGTAAGGCTCCAGAAAATAGATGTCGAGATTTCAACGGAAATACACGTTTTGGTGTCCGCCGATACCGAGAAAGTGTTCTTTTTTTTCAAAACGTTCGTCCGCCCGTCTGTCTGGTGAATGTGAACAACACTAGCGCCAAAAATCATGCGAAGGATTTTTTTTCAAAATTAAAGAAACCCCTGTCCATTTGGCCTGACTCTTAGCTCTGCGATTTTGAAAATCATTAGTTTTTGGGGGTACTAACCATTAAGCCCCTGGGACATTTTCAAAAATGGACAAAAATTCACACGTATCGTGTTAGACGCAAACAAACCGGATATCATTATCCGGGATTGGGATAAAAAAAATCGTGTCTACTTGTAGATGTAGCTGTGCCTTGCGGCCTAAATGTCTTAAATAAAAGTTTGAAAACGAGATGAACCGAATGTAGGGCGTAAAACCACAGGTCCTCCCGATAGACATCAGAGCTCTTGGATTTGTTCCGCACAATTTGTGTAGAACTTGGGTAAACTCACAGGTCTTTCAAACGACTGGGAAGGGCAAGAATTTTCCCATACAAACCCGTATTTCGTTTTCTTGTATTTCGTGATACTCAGCGTCTTCTTATGCAGTTTTTATGCCGGCTCTTCCAGAAGCATCCTGATACCACATGTCGCAGTGAGGTTGCTCGTTGACGAGCAGCACGTCAACCTCTATTTCAGCAGCGATCTGCAACATCAAATCCCACGCCTATTTACTCCTACACAAATTAACATGCACGAATTAGAGCATACTTTCTCTTTTTGGCATACTTTTGAGCACACTTTCTCTTTTATTTGAACGCCATGCTGAAGGTTACATTTAAGGATACATTTATTACTTGCTAATAGATGATTATCCTCTTTGTTTCCCTCCTTGCATATAACACACTACAGTTTACCAGTACAATCCTTGATACCATGTCCGGTTTTGCCACATCTGTAACATGCTTTACTTCGATCGGGACCTCTGCAAGCAGTTAAGATGTGTCCAAAGCCTAAGAATCGGTAACATTTTAATATCTGGAGATTTTTCTCTGATTCCACAGTTCACCCTGCCGATTTTAATTTTTCCTGCCGTTATGATCTTTTGGGCTACCTTTTCACCCAGTAGCATTGTGGCTGTTTGCATTCCTCCATATCTCCTACGTAACCTACAGGAGTCGGAGATCTGATCTGCCGTTACATTTACTATTGTCTTGCTCACCGCTTCCAGTACCTCGTCAATTGTGACAGTTTCGTCAATATCCTTAATTTCAAATAGGCGTTTCCGCGTTAGGGCATTCACTTTCGCTAGATCCCCCGCCGCCTTCCCCTGAGCGTCGTTCAACGCGTCAAAATTTGCCAGTTTTTTCTAGTACAAGGAGCACATCCACCTTTCGGGCCCTCCTTTCAGCCAGTATCTTCGTACCGTAATCATTAGAATCCACGCCATTCTTCATCATCTTGATGGTGTCTGCGTATGTTTCACCTTGCCTAGCAGTGAACTTGATAGCTGGGTTGAATTTCTTACTTGACTTATACTTTTCCCTCTTTTGGCTATTTTTCCTTTTACTTCTTTGCTGCTCTTCCCATCGCTCCTCTTCTTGGCTTCCTTTCATCTCAAGATGTTCTATCACCTCTCTCTGATTTTCATGGCTTTCTCCAAGAGTATTCTCCACCGTGATTACTCTATTCTGATTTTCTTGTCCCTTCTGTTAGACTCTTCTGGTGGACTAAGTGCCGCCCTCTTTTTCCTTTGTGCTCGCATAGCATCCAATTCCTTTTATCTTGCCTTGACTTCCTCTTTCGTAATTGACAGAGAGCTCAGGATCTCTGAAGACTCTGTCTTCTCTTCTGCTACTTCTTGCGCCGTATCCTTTAAAGCACCGTACCTCTTCTTGTCGTGCCTTGTATTCTCGGCATGTACGTAACCCTTCCTCAGGAGGAGCAATCTCTCATGCATCCACTCTTGCTCTTCACTGATGTCCTGCCATCTGTTCTTTAGTGTTCCCACATCTTCTTGTGTTGTGGCCAATGGCCAATTATCACAGAATTATTTCTTAACAAATTGTTTCCAATGACAGCTGGGTATGCAAACGTTCTATGATCTCTATATTATCGGCTCTTGGATAGCTTCCTATCTTTCCGGCGTCCAGTCCACAGCATTCCTTTCCCCCCCAGGCGTGGGCTCCACTTGAACCGGAGATTCACTTGACGCATTAACTCACAGAGACGCCGAGTGGTCCACGTCTCCGTCATTGCAGTCGTTGGATGACAACCGCCGGGAGCCTGCTGCCGGTA